GGTAATTTGTGTTTGTACTTTCGAAAAAGAGATGTGTTTTAGGATTGAAGAGCTTGTTGGGGGTATTTATATAGATGAAGGTCAATAAGCTCTTAATCAGCTTTGAAGTGCTACGACACATGCAAACGTCAGTTTAGTCGATAACCTCAATTAATGTAAATTTATTACTTTCAATTCTTAAATTTATTATAGCAAGCGCTCCTCTTAATACACAAATATCTTTTAAATCTACATTTTTATAACTTTATCATATGATTTGTGGGTTTATTTTTACTTGAAACCACAAGTGAGAGACGAACTTGAAAGACCATAATCATATAACCACAAGTGAGAGACGAATTTGTGGGTTTATTTTTAGTAGTATATTTTATGTAAAAAAAAACGTTAAATTACAAGAAGATCTTGAAACAAATCAAGCATCATACAAAAGACAAAGTTGACATAAAGATAATTTGGCTGAACTAAATGACTATTCATAAAATATAAAGTTTCGGTTGCTAGTGTCTTCACATTGTAAACGTGATTCAAACAATTGTCAAAAAGATACCACGGCTCGTGGCAAAAAGAAACTGCGAAGAAGTTATGTTACTTTTCGAAGAAATGAAAAGTTATCTTTGTTATTTCTGTAAGACATAGAACGTGAAACTCAAATGTTACATTTGGAAAACATTTAAGAAATGAAAAAGAGAATAAGCAATTAAATTCGGGCTTTTGAAAGGAAGGAGACCGGAAAGACGCTGGCTGGAGAAATTTGTTGGGGGCATATAAAAAATATTAAATAGTAATATAAAAATAGAACACAAGAATTGAGGCAAGATAGGAGGGGATGTTGGAGGTGGAGGGGACAAGGTGGGAGCCAGAGAGAAGGTCAACATGGCACGATAAGAGGGATTTGCATGTGCGGTTAGGCCTAGGCCATGTCAGCTTACCATCTCACCATCTTTGTTCTCTCCCCACTTGTTTTTCTATTTAATAATTTTTGTTTCTATCTGTTCCTTTGAATTTACATGTGAATTCCCATTAAAATATGAGAAATTCTAAAAAAACATTACAAAACTTACTTAACCAACATCAGTGTTTTTTTCTTGATTAGTGTTTTCTTGATTTTTTTTTAATAAAAACAAAAATAACAAAGGAAAACTTGTGTTCGAAAATATGACTGGTAATAGCTTGTAGAACAAAAAATTTAAGCTAAAATAACAGAGAGAATTCACCAATGATGATAAAAAAAATCCAGCCGCTTTAGCTAAAAAGGTGACTTTTTAAAAAAAATAGAGAATTTTTTTCTCTAACATATATATATGATAATACGAAGGAATTCTATTATGAATTTATCTTACTTGTCTTTTTTTTTTTTTTTAATTCTAAATAACGTTATACACGACGATTACACTCATTTTAGATAATTAGTTGAGTACTAAAAATCCAGACATTCTTTGATTATCAAAAAAAAAAAATTACTAGTGAAAACAATGACACTTACTTAATCCTAAACAAACAACTGCTATTGGTCCGCACACACAAATATATAGTGAAAAACAATGCAACACAGATTAATCGGTTTAACTAAGCCTTCACACAATATCTTCATCATATTAAACATAATGCCATCAACTTGACCTTTTGTTCCGTATTTTTATCTATTGGAACTCTTTTCTTTTACTAGATCTCATGTCACTTCTAAAACTCAACTCGTTAGACGTTTATTAGCTGCAATATTTCTCTCTTGGATTTGTTCACATACCAACAAGCAAACATGCCTTTACCCTTATCCCTATAACAATACGATATCATCATACATACATGATGTATGTTTGGTTTTACCCAAAAACACAATGTTCTAACTACAATAGCTAGGATAATAGACAATTGTAGTACTTTTAGATCGAATCTACTAAATGACTGAAAGATGTATGATATAAATTTACGAGAGAAAAAGTAAATTATGCAAAATAAAAAATTTAATTTTTTTTGTTGTCATCAATGAATTTAAATGCAAATAATTAAATGAGCGGTGAGAAATCAATCAAAACAAACATTGTGCGGACTATGATTCCTAACTGAACTACACTTGATCATTTAGACGAGCTATATTCGTAGCGATAGCTACTATATCTAAGCAACCTAAGTACTCAACTCTTAGGATGCAAATATATGTAAATATGAGATACTTAAATCAACATTTGATATGTTAACCTAACTTTATAGATTAAATCTTGCATGATATGGCGCTAAGTTTGTCTAGTACTAGGTTAAACTGGT